AGGAGTGCTGATAATGATGTCCTTTAAAGCATCTACCACCATATTAGATTCACGGAAAATGTGAGTGAAGGAAATCTCCGAGAACTTCAGGGAAAAGAGAAAAGTCATTTGAACCGTTGGGTGCTCTAGTTGCCAACTTAGAACAAAAGCTAGCTCTTTTCTGTGGGCTGTTGACCGTCTAGCTAGCTCTTTACTATGGGCCTTTTTAAAACCATCTTTTTATGCTGAACTTCCTCTTTAGGTGGGGTTAGCAATTGGTTGGAACTCATACTGTGTTTACTAATTAAGAATAATTCCAATTACAAAGGATTTATGCGTTTATTATTCCACATCAAAGAATTAAAAAGTAAATAAGGCTCGTATAAAATCAGGAATTCAATTTTTGATCTTCGAGGAATTCAATTCTTAGGTGGGAGGTATATTGAAAATTCGACTTGAGCACAACTATGATGTTGTGGAGATTCGAACCTGAGACCTCTGGTCTGTAAATCAGGACCCTTTTTAACTAACCTAGAGCCCATTGACATAAACTAATACAATTAAATTGGAAAAATAGTCCAAAATCTCAAGCAGCATCAAACATGAGATAATACTTTTGAATTATAAAAATATTCCTTCCCGCCCCGCTCCTTATCTTCTCACCTCCTTTACTATAGAGAATAGACATAGATTGCAGAAAAAAAAATTCCCATAATTTTAAGCATATGGCCCTCCAAACATGATAGTATCTAAAATAGGTAAAAGCCGTGGCATTGCTAGGTCATTAGATTATAGTTTTCACATTTGTCCATCTAGTCCTGGTTTTAAGTTTATGTAAAGGAGTAGTGTAGGGGGAGCACACGCCTCTGAATTGTTTATTTGCATGTTGTGACTTGTTTACTATAATTTTCAGTCTTGCTCACTGCAATTGCTGTCTGGTTTCAAATATAAATTAATCCAGTATGGGTTTTTTTCCTCACACTTGCTTCTATAAATAGCACTACGCGCAAGCCAGCCTCAAGTGCTCAATCAGATCAAAATGGCAAGCTTATTGTTTACTTCCTTAGCCTTGTTGCAGATCATCATGGCAGTGGTTCTAGATCTAGTCAAACCAGCCATCTCTGTGCCTTTGAAGATTGGTTTCTACCAGACTGCATGCCCCTCGGCTGAGACCATGGTCAGAAATACAGTCACTAAGGCACTTGCCGCAGATCCTGCCATGGCTGCTGCCCTCATCAGACTCCATTTCCACGACTGTTTTGTAAGGGTATGTCACTTCTGATCATTTTCTTATTATATGCAAAATATTTATTATATTTTCATTCGTACAAAAATGCTTTCTTTACCAGACTGATTGCCTAGATTATGACCATTGGTCCTATATTTGTTTTTTGGAATGTGTAGGTTCACGTATATATATACTTTAAAAATCAAACGTACAATACAAGCGCGAATACACATTTGTTACTAATTTTTGAAAAATACAGATAAAAGTCACATATTATATAAATAAATATACTATACATAAAAATTATAAATGAATAATATTAAAACACTATATAGGGGCCGAATTTTTATCAGAGTTTTTAAAATATTATCGAATAATACACCTACATATTTTTATTTTTCTCTTTTCGTATTTTTTTAAAAAAACTATGGTCTAAGTTTAGAGTATGACAGATGCGATCGTGTTTAATAATATTATGCAGGGTTGTGAAGCTTCTATTCTGCTTGATTCTAAGCCGGGAATCCCAGCAGAGAAAGAAAGCACGATGAACAAAGGCGTCCAAGGCTTTGAGGTGATAGACGAAGCCAAGGCGGCGATAGAAGCCCAATGCCCAAACACAGTTTCCTGCGCAGACATCATCGCCTTCGCGGCCAGAGACAGCGTTTTTGGTGCCGGCGGCCTCCTCTATGCTGTCCCTGGCGGAAGGCGCGACGGCTTGGCTTCGTTGATCGACGAAGCGGCCGAAAATCTCCCCGGTGCATTTTTCAATTCGACAGAGTTGAGGGGCAACTTTGCAAGAAAAGGGCTGTCAATGGAGGAAATGGTGACGCTCTCTGGAGCTCACTCCATTGGAGATTCTCATTGCTCTGCCTTCTCCAAAAGGCTTTACTCTTTCAGTGCAAGATTTCCACAAGACCCTTCGATGGATGCGGCTTATGCTGAAACTTTGAAATCTAAATGCCCAAGGCCTCGGAATTTGACAGATTCTGTTGACCCAGTTGTGGCTTTTGATCCCTCAACGCCTGCTCTGCTTGATAACAACTACTACAAGAACTTGGTGAGCCACAGAGGGCTTTTGGCTTCTGATCAGGAGCTTTGGAGCAGTGGGTTGACGAGGAAGATGGTGAAGTACAACAGGAACCATCCAGGTGCATGGGCCTCTAAGTTTGCCGCTGCAATGGTGAAGATGGGTTCCATTGATGTGATGGTGGGGAGAAATGGAGAAATCAGGAACAACTGCAGGGATGTGAATTAGGAAGCTCTTGTTGTGTGTGCCTGCCTGGCTACGTAGTGCTCGCTCAAAATCTTATTTCAAACTAGAATTTTATATTTTAAGAGCCATGTAATTTAATTTGAGTTTTTTCAATTTTGGGCATGTTCCCCTTGTTTTGGGAAGTTCATTTTGATTTGAGATTGTGGACGTGTATGTTATAGTTTGTTTGATATAATAGTTACATGTTTGTGAGGTTTAATCAAGAGTTTATCTTACTTGTCGTGTGACACTATTTGTACCATATTTACTGACTACATTGCTTATCACCTCTCTAATATAGTTAATAAATATGGTACAAATAACATTATTGATTCGTAAATATGAGTTATACCAATTAGCTAAGGTAGCGTGTTGAATCTGAGTTGAATCTCCTTCCCCATATAGGTTAAGTCAATTGACTAAGACAATGTGTCCACCCTTTTGCACTTGAATTCAATCTTCATTCCTGGAGAGTACAATATCACTTTGTCAAATAAAAACTATAATTGAATATTCGAATTTGGGTTTCTCATTTAACAGTCCGCTAACATAAAATTGATTATTTTAAAATCATAAATTTAAATAAATAATTTGATGTTTGAATTTTAAAATATTTAATTTTGATTTTTTATTATTATTCTTAAATTCATGGTAAAGTTAGAAGCAACTTCTATACAATCAGCCCATTCAAGATGTGGTCAAGATGGGCTTTTAATTGGAGAAGCCCGACCTTTTTTTTAAGTTCTCTGGTAGGCCCAGTTTATAGTTAGCGCAGCACCAGTTCTCGCTTCACATTTCATATAAAACCAAAAACCCCTTCAGAGTTAGAAAACCCTAACGAACGCAGAGCACTACAGTTCAGCAGCTGCCGCCACCACTTCTCAATCTCATCTCTGTTCAAAGGTAGATTCTTTCTCTTCCTTACATTCTGAATCTTTCAAAAATATTATCAGTGATCCATCATCCGACCAGTCCACCGATTTGAGAAAATTGAGATTTGTTTGTGTGTTCGTTGGATTTGGATTTTTAGGGTTTCAACTCAATCGACAATATGCAGAACGAGGAGGGACAAATCACTGAGCTTTACATTCCCAGGAAATGGTATTAAATCTTATTGCAATTGAAATTTTTGTATCATTGTTTTGTTTGTGTGGTTGTGATTTTTAGGGTTTGGGCTAAAATTTTGTGGTGTTTGGATGCAGCTCGGCCACAAACAGGCTGATCACTTCAAAGGACCACGCGTCTGTTCAGATTAACATTGGGCATCTGGATGAGAATGGCATCTACACTGGCCAGTTCTCCACTTTCGCTCTCTGTGGCTATGTCCGCGCTCAGGTTCATCTTCTTTCTTTCATTTCAGTACTATTATGGTAAATATTTGTGTTTTTTTTTAGCATATTGTAAGTGTATATGCTAATAGGAATGTAGAATGATTGTGGGTATTGATTCTGTTGTCTTTTCATTAAGATTAATCTCGTAGAATGATTGTAGACTGCACTTCTCATCCTGACTCTGAGGAAAATAACATACAAATCATTCAAGTTGGATGCGTATCTCAGCACTTAGTTTCTTCATTACATTAGCAAGCAGTTGCATTTACATCGTCAGAATTTTTTCAACCACTATGGATTCACTTCTAATTCGAGGATGCCTTTTACCGAATCGAATATCAGAAGAGCCAAGTAAACACAAACATATGTTGGGATCCCATAATCAAACCGAAAACCCCAAATAGTACACACAAGCATCTAAACTTTTGTAAACTTAGTTGTCTTAAGATTTTCCATGCTTCTAATAAAGTTTAGATTATGAGGGGTCGGTTAATTAGGTTTTTGAATGGTTCTTTAATGACAATGTTGTGTTCGCTTTTTTGAGTTCATAAATTTTTCACTTTGGGGAGCCCATTGGTTCCAGTTCTGATTCGTTGCATGATTTCTTTTATTTTTCAGGGAGAGGCTGACAGTGGTCTGGACCGTCTCTGGCAGAAGAAGAAATCTGAAGTTAAACAACAGTAGAGAGAGATGATTTTTCTTATGTGGTTTCTTTTCTGGACGTCTCTTATCGACAATGGAAGTGTTGTTTTAGTGAACTAAAATATATTATCTTGAGCGTTTTTCTTTTCCAATTAGTAGTGAATGTTGCAACTAGCTCCCAACTTTTTGGTGTTCTTGAATTGGGCTGTTCTTTTGACTGCGAAGTAGTGAAACTTTTACTCCTTGGAGTATTTTAAATATATGCCTCTGCTTTACGTCGCTATTTACACTGGTAATGCATGATGATTGAAGTCCAGGGCAGTATATGTTTTGAGAGCTTGTGACTAAAGATTTGTAGTCGGCAATTCATATCTATTGCTTGTTGTGCCTGCTTTTGCCAGTGGCACAAATTAAGCTACCACCCTCTGCCTTTGCCTTTGCTTATTATCTCTTGTGGGCTGTTAATTGCTTGTAAAGATTCATGTGTTGACATAAAAAACTGGTATTGTTATTGATCAAATAGCTTAGGAAATCATATAGAAATTGGGAGAATCTAACATTCAAACGTTGGTGAGTTTTAAATTGATTAAATAGCTTGCAGATGAGCTTACTGATTATCTAAAGTTTACAAGATCACCCCAATAATTTAGAATGCCATGTGGGCAAATGTTGCCCTTACAAAAACATTAGCGTGCAACAGAGAAACTGGTGTGGATTACGCATCCTATCCATACACATCAATCCATTCAATACAGAGGGGTGCAACTGTCGTTTAATATATCACAGAAAATATTTACTTCTTGATGCCACCTACAGGAATTGCAGCTGCTGAAATTTTCATGATCAAGAGGATCCCATCCTCGCTCGACTGTGAAAACCTCCTGTCTATTTCCACAGTCGCTGCATGTTTTCGAAACGGCACTCTCATGGCGGGCTTGTACAATTTTACCCACCACCTTCCTGTCAGACCACATGTTCCAAACAAGTCCTTTAACCCTCTCCCTGCATTCTCTCACGCTGAATCCTTTCGGTTTGTAATGATTGAGAGAATACAGAAGCTCCAGGCCTTCCTGCTTCGCCTCTCCCCCGAAACACACCAAGATGGTGCCGTAAACATACGTCGCTTCTACATGACCCTTCGAGGCTGCTTTCTTCAGACACATGATTCCTTGTTGCACCCTCTTGCCTCTGAAAAGATCTCGAAGCCCTTGTCGGTACAAGGCCTCCACGTTGCCGCACTTTTTGCAGCGTTTCAGAAATTTGGAGAATTTGTCGTCAAACCTCCAAGAATCCAATGGGAATTTGCTCATGTCAACGCACTGGAATATGTAGTCTTCTTCAGCCGTTTTGTTGAAGTCCTTGCAGCTTAACTTTGCCGAGTAGAGATCGTTGAAAGAGTTCGAAGCCACCTTTGCAAGAACTTCTACCAAAAGCTCCTTCGGAAGAGATTGCATGATGCGACTCTTGCTGTTTGCTGCTTTCTTCTTCATTGACCTTGTGAGAGGCGCCATTGATGCCTGATAACAAGAACATTCACAAATTATTTCGGTGGAAATAAGCTTAAATAAGCTTCTTGATCAGAGTTGGACAGCCTGACGTTGTTCTGCTTCCTAACGCGACGTCGTTTTTGCTTTCCAATTTGCCGTTTGCTGGTAGTCCTTTCAAGTTGGATACTGTTTTTCTTGTAAGTTTGGCGTGTTATTTGCGCTCTGGTCTTATGAATCCCAGTTCTTCACCACCCCCAAAAAAAAAAAAACACCAAAAACTGAAACCAGAAGACTTCCCCAAAGACATGGGACAACCGACACCAGCATGCAAAATAAAAGAGGAATATGTACGTACGTGTGATTATATATCAGACACAAACACAAACCCTTGTAGGGTTAGGACAAGAAACACCGAAGTCATATGAAAATTGGATTTCCTAAAACAAAATTAAGGCGGTGGTTAACTTGGCTAAATTGGTTTTCTTGCATACTAATAATACTAGATTCTTAACTTATCTAATTAGGACTGTTTAATAACATTATAATATACTGGACCGACCAATACCATGACATGCCTTCGTTGGGCGGCCTGATTACTAATAATATTAAATACTAAGTCTGAACAAATGAAAATCTATCTCTTTCTTTTCTTGCAAATTTTTGTGTTTTTGTTTTTGAAGAAAAAAGAAAACACAATCTCAATTTATATGGGATTCCTATGCTCATTATGAGATCCACATTCATCAATGACCGATATTAATTTAGGCCATGCATCCACTACTCGTCAATAACCCCAACACATTCTGTGTCAACGATGAATTTTAATAGAGTTGTGCTAACATCAATTGCAACACAAGTCATAGCGTGAAACATTTTCCTCTTTTAAATTTCTAGGTCATATCAGAACTCACTCCTCAACTGCTGAAAAAGCTTCACAAGCTGACAACCAAAACGTTGAACATCTTGTAAAAAAATATGGCATAAACATAATATGGTCACAAAGCTCTTCTCAAAAATATGTGCGCAGGTTGACAAGTCTCACCAATTGGGTTGCTTCAGCTCATTCAATCATCAACATTATAACTATATTATATCTATATAACACACAATTTTCTTACTATATGAATCGAAAGAAAATGTTATTTTCATTATAACATTATAATTATAATTTGTAATTTTTTTTATACAATATAAATGATATTTTATTTTAATTTAATCTAAATTACGGCGAGGGAATTTGTGAGGATGATCACATCCACTTTAGTCAAATTGTACAACAAACCAACTACGTAATTAATGGTCAAAAGTTCAAACATGACCTTCTATATAGAGCCGTCATTGCTACGCAACGATTTCCGAGTTCTGAACGCGGTAGTGACTCAGTTTTGAAATCGGTGTTCTGTGAAAGCCATGGCTTCGAGCAGCTTGATCCCCACGAAGCTCGATTATTTCGACGACATGTGGAAGCTCCAGTCCAAAGCCACAGTGCTGTCTTTATCCAAAGTTAGTTCCTTTTCTTCACTTCAGTCTCACATACTTCTTCTTTTTCAGCTTCACTTTCTCTCTGATAAAATCTTAGGGCTTTAATTCCTTTCTGTTTGTTTTCCGAGAAAGTTCAGAGAAAAATTAGTGCCATTCGTTAAACGAAAATCGAAAATCACTAATTGAATTGTGGTGTGTGCTTTGTGGTTTTGAAGGGTGAAGATGGACGAACCGCTTTGGTATTGGACCGTACGATTTTCCATCCACAAGGTGGTGGCCAACCTGCCGACACAGGCTTCATCGCCGTCGCAGATTCCTGTCTCAAATTCGTAGCAGAAGATGTACGGTCAAAAGACGGAATAGTAAGTAATCAAAATTTTAATATTTTCTTTATTTTTGTTATGAAAAAAAGGTTATCTTTATGATTGGTGCTTCACTCAATTTTGGTTAGGTTTACCACTACGGTTTTGTTGAAAATTCTGTTGAGGAAATGGAATCAAAATTTGAGAAAGGGAAAGAGGTGTTCTTGCGTGTTGATGAGGCTAGGCGCAAGCTAAATTCTAGGTACCCATATACACAAAGAAATAGGCTCATTTGATTAGTTAAATTTATGATTTTTTTTTTTGTGTGGAGAAATTTGGAACTTGCTTGTGTTGTGTTGATTATAGGCCATGTTAAGTTTTTGAGCAAGTTTGATTGCTTACTTGCTGATTCATTTTTCATATTTTAATCATTATGTGCAATTGTTTTTTGCAGGCTTCACTCAGCTGGGCATTTGCTGGATGCATGTATGAGAAATGTGGGATTGGGTGATTTAGAGCCAACCAAAGGCTACCATTTCCCTCAGGGGTATGATTTTGTTCTGCTTTATTGTCTAATTCTTGGATTAAAAAGTGTGGGTATATTCCTTCTTTAGTTCTGCTTCTGCAAGAGGATTTCTTCGTTAAGCTATTTAATAGAGAAGCTAGCCTCTACAATTCCTCTTTATTTTCTCCTCCCACTCCACGCTGCGTCCTCGCCTTCCCTTATACTCTTTCTGTGTTTGTATCAAATTCACTGTTGACGACGACGATGTTCATGAAATTCTTTTTACATTCCATAGGCGGCAGCTTTTGAGCAGAGTCTATGACGACAACAACCCTTTAAAAAGTTATGAGCTGTTTTTAAAAGACACAATTCTTCTCAATCCAAATATGGGAAATGTGAGGTCCTAAATTTTTTCCACCTAACAGAACAATGGTCCTTGCTCTTAAGCTTAGCAACAGCCCCAAAGCCTTAAGCAGCACAATGATCCTGAATATGTGAACAACTTCTGTTATTTGAGACACAATGTTGTCGTTTGGAAATCCTTTGTAATTTGGTTGAAATTAGTACTTATAATGTGCTTCTTGCCAGGCCATATGTGGAATACAAAGGCACCGTTCCACAAAAAGATATGGAAAGTAAGCAAAAGGAGTTGGAGCTAGAAGCTAATGCATTAATATCTAGAGGAGGGAAAGTGAGTTGCAAACTTGCAATATTTATTTAAAGTTGCTTGGTTGGTTGGTAGTATGGGATTTGGGTCTAATGCTTTACTATATTTCTCTTAGGTTTCTGCTGCCTTGTTACCATATGAAGAAGCGTGTAAACTGTGTGGTGATTTCCTTCCCGATTACATTCCCAAGGTTATTCCTTATACTAGGCCTGTTTTATATACATGAACATGCAGGAGCTTTCAAATTTTAGTGCTGCAAATTGTTGAGTGCTAACTAATAACTGCGATTTTACTTTGTTGCATCTCCGATCTCTTCCAGAGCAGCACTCCTCGCATTGTGAAGCTAGGGGACAGTCCTGGCTGTCCGTGTGGTGGTACCCATGTTTCTGATATTTCAGAGATCAAGAGTCTTACGGTAAGATCCATTCGCTTCAACATTTTTATAAATCGATGTTCACAATTTTTCTCAATCATGAGCATGAACTGAGTGTATAAAGTAAGAATCTGTTGGTCTGCTCTTATTTCCGTCGTTGAAGTGAGGTGTTTTGTTGCTTGTTCAGGTTTCTCAAATACGAACAAAGAAAGGATCCACAAAGGTCTTTTACAATGTTGGGTCCTAATTCTTGGTGTAACATTTTACACCCTCATCGATACAAAGGTCTGGAACTACTAAAATGTGACGTATTTTTGGATGAGCTAGCTGTTGTGTGTTGATAGTCAATTGACAATATGACTTTTGAAAAGGTGAAGCAGTGCTTGTATTTTGTTTATATACATAGAACTCATCGTTTATTTTATGTGGATATTAATGTGGAAAGCCTCAAATGGATAATAAGGTTCAAGGTACATGATTTGTAAAGTTGAAAAAAAAGTTCCGGGTTATTCGCAGCAATGGTCCCTCAACTATACCCGTAGTTACACTTTGGTCCATCAATTCAATTATTAGTTGCGGGGGTCACTCAACTCTGTGTTCCGTTGCACCAGTAGTCCTTCCGTCAAGTCTGTTAGTTTTTTCCGTTTAAAATGATGACGTGGCAAGTATCTGTGAGAATCTCATAGATTCGTGAGGGGCAAATCTGACTTTTCAGTTAGCCTTCTTCACCTTAGCAGCCTCCAACCCTGCCATCGTAACCTCCAATCTCCCCCACCTTAGCCGCCTCCAAGCCTTCAGACCCAGCTCAGTCGTTCAAGGGCTGGTCTGCAGTTTTCGTGTTGTGCTCATTCTGCAGTTTTCAATTTGGGGGTTTGTTTCACTCCCGACACATGACAAATTCTCCACCGTCAGATTCCATCTCAACAAGCACAGATCCAAAACCATTGGTGTAGAACAATGGCGAAACCCACAAAGCTCAACTCCATCATCAACCTCCAGATGCAATCTTAACAGCCAAGCCACCAGGTTCTGCAGAAAAGACCCAAGAAGAGCTCTTGCTCTTCCGCTTCTTATAGTCCCAGCAGAAGAACAAATCACAAAAGAAAGGCCCAAAATAAAAAAGAAATGAAGGGATTGAAATGGGAATTTATGTGGAAATCAAAAGACCCAAAACCAGACATAGAGAATCATCAATTACGAAACAATCATCAATTAACCAAGTTCATTCCAAGAAAGGGTAAACAAACCTTTTTGATTGAGTGCTTGAGATTGATTTGCAAGAAACAAAAGAGAAAATAAACTTTGAGAGCTGAGAGAGAGAGAGCGAAGAGGGAGCTGAGAGAGAGAGCGAAGAGAGAGTTGAGAGAGAAGAAAAAAGTGATAAAAAGTGTTCAATAGGCAATAAGACAGTATTTATAGATAGTATTTGATAAATGATTATAAGGTGGGTAGTTTTTGGTTATTTATTATTTGATCCTTGTGGATGAATTTCCAAATTTACCCTCACTTTTGACAGAAAATTTAACAGACTTGACAGAAGGACTGCTGGTGCAACGAAACACAGAGTTGAGTGACCCCGGCAACTAATAATTGAATTGATGGACCAAAGTGTAACTACGGGTATAGTTGAGGGACCATTGATGCGAATAACCCAAAAGTTCCTTGGCAAAGACAAGGAGCATACTTTGTCTCAGACATGCCGAGGCCAAAAGCATCGCCATCGTAAATTTGGATTTCATAGTTTGACCTTCGGCCTCAAGTTTCGATCAACACTTGGAAATTTTATTCGGCTGCTGGAAGTTGCAAGGCATATGCTGGGGTACAAGGAGATTTACCGGTGTGGTCCACAATCCACATCTGGAAAAAAATGCATGGAAAATAAAATATTTTTATTTGAGGTCCATATTCTTTAGGTCTTTTTCGTAAATTTGCATACGACGAAATCATCGGAAATGTATAAATGAAAAAAATTTGGTACGCACTTCTGGTTTTGTTTTCTTTCCGGTCAAACACTCTCTTTTGTCTCTTTTTCTTGGGGTGGTTCAGCTTTCTTTGCGGTTGAAATCTGCTGCTTTTCTCAGCGGCGTTTGGCCAAGTCAAATCCACTTAAAACACAGAAGGTTTGATTGGGGAAGTTTAAAGCCATTTTCTTTCTTTCATATGGACCTTTGGTCGACAGTAGCAGCCACTATAACATCTCATGAACTATTAGCAAACCCAAATAGATCATTTGATTGAGACGTTGGTTGACCTTAAACACTTAACCCGAAGTTTAAATTTACCCAAATGAGAAAAGAAGGAAAAAAAAAAAGGTGTGCAAATGACTGCTAATAAGAAATTATCTTCAAATTAAGAGCTTTCTTTTTTATGCTTAATTTTTGTTTATGAGCTCATCAGCCCAATTGAATTATTTAATTGGAAAAACTATAATAACAAAATCCAATGGGTATATAAACACAATTGTAGTCTAGCTGTGATCCTTAAAAGAAGGAAAAATTATAATAACGAAATATCTAAGTGCAAATTATGATGTCAATGTTAACAAACCAAAATTGACCTTATTCAAAACTAGATTTGGGGTGTAGATTTTGGGAGGGTGTGCCTGCAGGGTTTGGACATTATCTACTGGAAAATTTGAGTGGGGTTGCTAGAGCCAGAAGTTTGTATATATAGTTTTATTTCTGAGTTTCGGCACCCTTAGAACCAAAAAAACAATAATTCGACCTTATTTAATTTCCTGACCTTGTATGGAAATATAACTCCAAAAAATCTATAACCATTTAAATAAATCTGTAACCATAAATAAAACTTTAATTAAAATAAAAGGAAAAAAATAAAAGGCAATCTTAATAACAATAATATTACGAGGTTGCATCACCGAGACCCAGTTTTTGTTTTTTTTTTACTTGTATTTTGAATTGTGTTATTTCAATGAAATGTTCTTTTTCTGAAAAAAAAAAAAAACAACAACAACAATATTATCTGGAGGAGATATTTCAGTTTATTTTCTTTTCTTTTTTCGTTTTTTTTTGTTTTTTTTGTTTTTTTTGGGAAGGGAAAGATTGGAGAAAGAGAGTTAAGAAAGGAATAATAGCAGGAAGGAAGCAAAATATCGATAGAGTTCAAATAGAACTGGGAAAACGGCATTACCGGTAGGAGCGAATAGACAAAAAGCCAAAACGCCAGCCAAAGAAATTCCGCTAAATTCAGCAAAGACCCTTCCTCACCATCCATTCCCTTCGTCTTTTATGTACCACCCAGATACAGATTCTCCACTACCTCTTTCTATCTCTTTCTCGGTTTCTCTCTTTCTCAGATCTGCTCTTGCTTGTGCTTTTCTGCTTTTTCTTTCCAAAGTCTTACCCTTTAACACTCCCTCTTACTATACAACAACCCATCACTCTTTGTATATATAAGTTACATAGCACAAGTCACATTCTGGGTTTGTTTCCATTTCTCCTGTGGGCGCCTCTTTGTTGAAGACAAATAAGGTGAGGTGGGTTTCGAATCATAACTCTGTTTGTTTTGTTTTTGTATGATAATGCATGATTATGTTGTGTGTTTTGTCACTGTTGGATTGTTTCTCTTTTGTTTCTTTGTTTTTTGATTCAGTTTTAGCTTACTGTTTTGGTTCTTAATAGACGGTTGTTGCGTCTGGTTTAAACTATCTTTGCTCTGTTTCTGAACCTTGTATTTGATTGAATTTGCTTATTCTTTCACCCTGTTGGTTTTGTTGGTTTTTGTTGCGTTGGAAGGAATCACTTTTGAACCTTACATATATAGCCAAGTATCGATCTTTTGGTGTAGTAAAAGGTGCATTCTCATACAGGATTGCCTTTTGTTTTTGAATTGTAATTATTTTCTTATCCAAGGGAGCCCAAAGGGGATTGCTCCAAGTTTAGTCTCTTTCCCTTTGGAGGCCAAAGGGCAGGGCGTTTCAAACTCTGGCCTTGGTGTAAATGTTCTTGACCACTAGAGCTGCAAGGCTCCATAAGCTCCACGTTCAGTTGATCAGATAAATTTAATTCCTTTTCTTTGTGTGTGTTATTCTTTTGGTTTTGAACACGCGTATTCTTGTGGCTTATAGCACACAAAATTTCCCTTTCAGTGTTTCACTCTCTCACACCCAACACAAAGAACACACGTTTTACATCATCATCACCAATCTGTTTAGTTGATATTACTCTAAAAATGGACTTTGGAAAAAGATTGGATTCAATTACATGTTCATGATATTTGAAGAAAATTTGGTATTTGTGCAATAAAATATGATCAGATCAATTCCAAGTTTCTTACAAATGTTTGAGGTAATGAATAACCTAAACGTTTGTCTTTTTTCAGCTATAGACCATGCGAGGAGGAATTATGATTAAACCTGAAGGAGAACTAAAAGTAAGCTTTGGCTATCAATGCAATAGCAACAGAGACAGTTCTTGTGAGGATTCTGATGAATATGAAACCCTACCTGAACTCCGAAGGAACAGTAGTTTCTCTTGCTTGTCTGGTGCTGCCTTAAGTGCCAATGCTACTCTGGCAAACACAAATATCTGTAATGGTTTGATAGGGGCAGAAATACTTCCCAGTTGGGACTCCCCTAATTCATTTCGTAGGGTTCCCTCTTCCCCAACTCTTTCAAGGTTGGACATACTATCATCTTCTCTTCAGAGTAGTATGTCAAACTTAAGTTGCAGTCCATCTACACCTGATTCTGATTCTTACTTAATGAAATCCATGAGTCCTCCTTCCAGAAGTGAAGGTTTTCTTAATGCCATGGAAGTGCAAGTGGCAGGTGGAGCTGCTGGTGAAGACAGGGTTCAAGCTGTCTGTTCTGAAGAAAATGGGTGGCTCTTTTGTGCAATATATGATGGCTTTAATGGAAGAGACGCAGCTGATTTTCTGGCTGGGACACTGTATGAAACCATCGTGTTTTACTTTAAATTATTAGACTGGGAATCAAGTCAGGAATCCATCAAAGCTTCTAGTGGTCTAGATTTAGATGGGTCCCTTCCATATATAGAAGATGATAGCAATACTATTAACGAAGAAAGATTTCTATCCCAAATTTACACAGACAGGGATTCAAGTGTTGACAATGTCTCCAAGAATGCTCCATGTGCTAAACCAAAAATATCCACCGATTCATTTAGGCATGGGGTGCTTGACAGCCTCCAACGTGCTCTTAGTCAATCTGAGAATGACTTTCTATACATGGTTGAGCAGGAAATGGAGGATCGCCCAGATTTGGTTTCTGTTGGTTCTTGTGTTTTAGTTGTGCTTCTACATGGGAAAGATTTGTATACACTTAATTTAGGTGACAGCCGAGCTGTTTTGGCAACATATGGTGATGGTGATTTCATAAATGGGAGTGAGAGGCTAAAAGCTATTCAGCTCACGGATAGTCATACAGTTGATGACGAAGGTGAAAGAATGCGAGTTTTGTGTGATCATCCTGATGATCCCATGACCATTGTGGCTGGAAGAGTAAAAGGGAAATTGAAGGTCACTCGAGCTTTTGGGGTTGGTTACTTGAAAAAGGTGACTACTCTTACCGTTTAACAATTATGTACCAATGCCAAATTGGATATTTTTTTTAGATTAACTCTGACATTATCTGGTTAGTTACTGATTCTATTTTCCTACAGAAAAAACTGAATGACGCATTGATGGGAATTCTTCAAGTTCGCAACCTTATGAGCCCACCATATGTTTCCACTCAACCATCATTGAATGTGCATAGAATATCAAAATCTGATTGTTTTGTTGTAGTTGGGAGTGATGGTTTGTTTGACTTTTTTACCAATGACGAGGCGGTAAAGCTTGTCCATTCCTATATCTTGAGCAACCCCTCTGGTGATCCAGCTAAGTTTCTGCTGGAGCAGCTTGTAGTAAGAGCAGCCAATTGTGCAGGTAGACCTTCTTACATTTCATGTGAAGATTTTGTTGTCATTCCAGTCAAATTACTTATA